AATTTATTATTCAGTCAAATACTGACTGACGTTTTTTCATACTAATTGTTAGTACATTATTTACACACGAATTGAATGTATTGACGACGAATTTCCCCATTATTTTTCCGTTCATGACAAGGACCACGCGGCGGCTGTGACCTGTCGGCAGGGGATACTCACTCCGCCAGGACACCTGATCCCACCTCTGATGTTTTGGAGATCCGTGTTTGCTCTGATTCAATTTTGTATTTTTTTTCCTTACTTTTGATCTTGAACACTGTTCGTTATCTCTATATGTGTCACTCCATACGTTTCATTCCTAAACTTCACAGAAATACCAACAAAGATACATAGCGCGGTCCAGAAAATATTCTATCAAGCCCCTTCCTTTATCCTCAATGATAAAAAAGTGAAAGAGTAGCAGCACTGTAAAACAATAAATTAAAAAAGGTACAGAAATCAGGAGGAAAAATGCCATAAAAATCCAATAAAAAAGAGTCGGGAAATTGCATATCATGATCACATTTCTTTTAGACAAAATTTGATGCCATCTATACTTACTACTCCATACCACTACATCCATTAATCTAGATTTATTTGACGACAAGATGTATCCCAGTGAGCTTGAAATACTAGATATCACGGGGTATGTTACACATATTTCATTTTTGAATATTTTTTTCTGAAAAAAAAGAAGTTAATGGTAATCTAACAACTATACGCGATGAATTTAACCTTTCAATCGTCACCTTTACTCATATGCTGAATAATTTATCCTTGCTTTGTACACATGGAGTGTATGTTGTTAAGTTGATTCGATGAGTAAGCTCTACATGTGATTCATTTCTAAAGCTAAGTTATTTATAAATAAGTTGTCAAAACAAGGATAACAAGTCTCGTTCTAGGTATCAGTGCACAGGTTCTATGGCCAGTCATCAAACACAATCTATATTCAATTGCAAAGCTTATTGTATTATTTGAGATTGATTTCTCATCTTAATTTTTCACAAACTATTTTCTATAACCTTTCTCCGATCATGAAAAGGAGCGGTGTGTGTGACCATTTGGAAGGAGTTTCTTACTCCTTTATGACACTTTATAAGTTTTGCTACTTAAGGACATACACAACGTACCTCACCTACTGATAATTTTTCAAGATATTCTAAATTGACACTCACAATACCATTACATGTGCTCAGACAAAAAATCAGCATACGTTACCAGGGGTTTGAAAAGATATGAAGTTGTAAAATATTTTGCATTATTCAAAGAAAAATGTACAAAAATTACAAAGTATACATTTCAGATTTTTTTTTTTGATCAAAAATTGTTTTAGAAGAGATGTACAAATCCATATATAACATTAAAAGTATTGCACAGGGGTTCTTCTTTAAGTGGATCTCTTCAACTCCAAGGAAGAACCCAATTAAACTCAAACTACATTGCGTATGACCTTAATTTGGAGTTAAGGCATAATTGCGAATTGTCTTCTCTATATTTAAGCATAAGTATCAATTTTGAATCAAATGAATGTCCCAGATGACTGAATATCTTAGGACAAAATGGATGAAAATGAAATACCAGAGCAAGCTATTGATATACGTAAAAATAAATGTAAGAGGGGTAATTGCGTTCTGGTCTCTGAAATGCCGTGCCCGAAATAACTTGCTCGGAAAGGCGATTCTACGGTCCAGTGAATAGAGGTTCAGTACTAGTGAAGAATATTTCAAGTGATAAAATATGTTTAAAAGGAAGGGGTTCCTCACTATAGATATATACATGAAATTTAAATGCATTACAAAAATGCGAGCTTATTTTAATGTTACATTGTTTTAAGGGGGCCGACTGTAGTTTCCATTGCGCAAGATTTCGCGCATCATAGTAAAATGGAGCGTATTAACTGTTTAAAAGCAAATTTTTTCACTTGATTAATAAAATTAAACAAAATAAAAAAAAAAATTACAGGTTCAAGCATGTAATAACAATTTTATATAACTAAATTTTTAATCACTTTTGCAACTGATAGGTAGGTTGACGTGGTTAAAGTGTGTTTTGACGTTATAATAAACTAAAGCTCTTAAAAGAAAATGGCCAATAAAAATGTTATTAAATAAAAAGTGTAAAACATACGCTCTTGAAATTTAAAATATAGTAATTTGAGAATTTCTCAATTATTCTTATACTTTTTCATATCATACCTTTGTGCCCGCCATATTTTGTAGTACTCTATAAAAACAAATCGTTAATTTTTTGCCTTTTGAGATGACTCCTCTGCTCAGCTATGTTAAGGACCGATATGAAAATGCAACATTTGCAACGTTTTAATATGTATTACTTCTTTTTTAAAAAAAAATGTTACAAAGCAACTGAATACTTTGTAGAAAATGTAATATATCTATCAAAAATGGATAGGACTGGGCCGTAGTTATTACCAGTTATATCACACGTATCAGCTGTTTGTCACGTGACTTAATTGTATAAAAATTAATTGTTAAGCTGAATGTAGGAAATGGGAATAGTGCAAGGGCATAAGTATGTTTGTCAAGAAAAATTGATACACATTAAAAGATGTTTATTTCTTTTACCCAAAAAGTGCTGCTTACGAAGTACTGAAAATTTTGCAAAAAATGCTTATAATAGTTGAAAATTTCCACTTCGCTTAAATTCTGTTATAAATAAAAATAATCTTATGCAGACTAGGATAAGCTCCAAGCACTTTTCAAAATACATGTATACACTATATAAGCAATAAATATTCCAAATTTCATCTCAAACAAAATTGTCTATGCCCTTGCACTTTTGTTGTAAATCACAAATACCCTCATCGTTTTAGCGATATTCTCTACATTCCTTGTCCCTATGCAGCTCCATTGCTACTAGATAAATTCATATTCTATACACATAGTATTTAATAATTAATTTTCTTTTAGATTTAATTATAAGGTTTAAAAATTAGCAATAGTATCATATTTATTTAAGCATTCTGGTAATTATTAAACCAGTGAATCTAGTCCTCTGAATCACCTGTGCTGCGTCATGTCAAGGCTGATGACGTCTTATTTGACGAAATACTTTCTTCTATTACTCGACTGTATTGCTATCAAGTATTGCGATTTTACAAAATTTTATAAATAATCGATAAAATAAATAAATTAAAGTTGCTTTTTACGCATGATAATGTCGTCAATTAATTTTTGTGGCTTGTTAAATGTCAAGGACGTCACAATTTAACTTCCAATACGGTATACAAGGAATATATAGTCTGACCTTCCTTAACATAGCCGAGTGGGAACAAGACGGTAGAATTTTGTGTTTCTTAAACATAATGTACAATAAATTATTACTCATCATATATTATAGTTTGAACAAAAAGTCTATTGTAGTATTTGTAGAATTTGTTTTAAAGTGCTAAAATTTGCACTTTCCCATATAATCTTATAGTAAATGTACCTATATGTTGAGATGGTCCCTTAAAAAACCTGGACGGTAGATTTCGCCCAATCTTTGCCTGTACACTAAAGTTAATGTAGGTTATTTATGGTATAAAAATGAAGTAGTTTTCTCACAATAAAACCATAGTCGGCCCCCTTAAATATCATACTAATCTTACTTATTCCTGTTCGCTCCTTGAGGAATAATGGACAGCAACAGCATTACGCAACATCTGTGGACATTAAAAAAAATTGTATATTTTATACGTTTCCCAATCCTTTATAGTTGTTTCTACAAGCGATACACTCGCTTTAATTAAATTTTTCTGCAATTTCTTAGGCAATCCAAATCAAGCCAGTTTATCGCCTGTAGAGACAACTAGAAAGGGTTGAGAGGTTGATTGATTGATTGTACAGGGAAAACTATCTAACCGACACCTGAAAAATCCGACACACTGTGAATTCCTACATTAAATTTCTTTCCCATTTTACTATTTTCCTTTTTTTACACTGTGAAATCTGACACCCTGTCTATTTCGACATAAAATTTGTCTCCCAATGCATGTCGGATTAGACAAGTTTCACTGTATCTTGTTTAACGTCGGGAATTTTTCACTCATTTGGAGACGCCGCCACTTGCCGGTTGATTAGACGTTTTTTAATCAATACTCGGCACTCAGAGTCATTACGGAGGTAGGGATCTTTTCGTGCCACCACCTAATGCGACACGGGGCCTTGATTTATACGTTTTAGTTCGAAAGACCGGCCTCCTTTGCTCACAGTGGGATTCGAACTCGCGACCTAAGGATCAACTCCTTACCTTGCAATACTAGAGAAGACGCTCGAAACACTGCCCAAGTGGAGAGGAGGATAAAATATAATTCTGCAGTAGACGCTCGAAACACTGCCCAAGCGGAGAGGAGGATAAAATATACAAATTGAGAATACCGTAAATCTGGAAATGTTTAAGTCGATTTTTTTTTTTGCGAATTCGGGTCAAAATGTTGTTGATTAATTTTTACGTTTCAAAATTTAGCGCATGACCACTGCTTTGTTTACATTTCCAAATTCATGGTATCTCTGGAATTAGGGGGTAAAAGTAGATGATTTACCCAAGGTGGAAAGTAGTAAAATTCTCACAAACAGTGCACAATAAATCTTGCATCGTAATATGCATAATTTTTGCATTACGGGATCTATGGCATTATGGTCAAAGACTAATATAAAAAAAAAAACATAGCTCAACAGTTCTGCATCTATGTTTTGTCATACCAACAAATTTCGACAGATTTTCCACCCTTCGACTTGTTTCTTATTCCAGACTTGAAAAAAATTGGAAACAAGAATCAAATCCAGGAAATTATACGATATGTCATATTCTAGTATATGGAGGAGCATGCTCAACAATGTGTTCTAAAATTTAATTAGCAATTGGATATTAATGTTTCAAACGTGTTTCAACAAAAGAATTAATTAAGACAAATTCATTGGAAAATGTATTTTGTTTCTTTCTGAGTTCCGGTGACATGAAATTTGAACAGCTCTTGTACTTTAACTTTGTGTGATATTTTTTTTTTCTTAGTATACTGACCAAAGCATTATGAATGCAGAAAAAAAACAGGAAATGTTAAAAGAGTTGAAAGAGCGAATAGGAAAGAAGACAGGTGTGCCATTCACCGTTGCTGTTATTGGGGCACCTGGGGCTGGAAAGTCCTCCTTCATTAACACCATGATCACAAGCATAACTGGAAACTACCGGCAATGGACAAAGACGGGAAATTTTGGAGAATTTGATCAAACAGTTACGCATTGTCCAACTTGGTAAAACATAAATTTAGACACGAAATTCTCTATGGTCTCATCGATCAATGAAATTTGATATCATCTTTGGATTTTAATATATGAGTTTATTTTCCTATTATTGGTTTGATAATTTGGCTTTTTTCCCAATGTTTGTTTTAATTGAAGCAAAGGAATTACATCCTTGAGTTTTATCTTATTATTTTTTTACATGATATCGAACTCAAATCTCTTTCACTCCCTTGGGAAAAACTTTTTAGGATACCAAGGGAAAGGTATTTGTCCCACCAATCACTTGAGGAGTATAATTTTCCACACTTTTTGGACATAGCTGGAATTCAGGATACTGATGATGAAATCACAGGCCAGGTACTAAGGCTTCTCTTATATGGGAGAATTCCGTCTGATGTGCCTCTTAAAGACCTCGCAGAAGATATCAGGTAATTACAATTTCATTGGTCACAAATATTGAAACAACTTCAAAAGTCTTACTTGCATTTATTATTTAAGTTTTTTTTTTATTTTTATATAAGACAACGTGGAACGTGGCTTATAGAAAAAAGGTATCCAGAAACACCAGAGTGCAAAAAGGTCGACAGGATTATTTTTGTAGCCTCTGCAGCAAATTCAAATTTACCTTTAAAGCTCATGCAAGCTGTATCAAAAGTACTTCGGAAAAAAAGAGGTGACAATATTTTTTGTATAAAATCGTGTGAAACGTATGGTAATAAGGAAGGGTATTCATGATAAAAAGTACTGGAAACAATACAAAAATAGGAGCAGAGCAAACACATATCTACAAACATTGAAGTTGGGATCAGATGCCATGGAGCAGTGAGCATCACCTGCCGACCGGTCACATTCGCCGTATGCCCCTTGTCATAATTTGGAAATAACGGAAAAATCCGTGGTCAAATCAGTGTATAAGTAATGAATTAACAATTAGTATAAAAACGTCAGTCGGTATTTGACTCTGTAACAAATTTTATTTTCTGACACGACCATTGTATCGACCGAAGAACTCACGAAATTATTACTTTAAACGAGACGGCTAAAATTCTTTTTTTTATCAGTTCATCAACTCGTTTGTCAATACCTTACCTTGTTTTAGAAATTGTACATACGTAGAGCATTCTTTTGCGTATCGAATCAACTGAGAGATATAAACACAGTATGCAGATGACGAAGGTATATTGCTGCATAAGTAAGGAAAGTTGGAGATAATTAAAAGTTAAAGTCATCACGTTTGTCATAAAGTTTGGTTGTTAGATTACCATTAACCTTTTTCTCAAGTAAAAAAAATCCAAATATGAAACAGATGTGTCAGACCCCCTATCTTTTGCCCAAAGCTCATCGGGATATAAGAATGTAGATAGCCCTCGAAATCAACGAAAATGAAACCACACAAAAATAGGCGATAACACAGTGTGATATATTTTTTCTTTAAGGAGGAAAAATATGAACTATTTGGAAGTATCTGGAAATTGTTGCAAAAAAAAAATCAATTTCAATCTTTAATTTCGGACTTGTATTTATCAATAAAAAGAATTATAATCAATAATGCTTAATGTTACGATTCATAACTGAGTGGTTTACAGGTCTAATGGTCGGTACTGATGTAGCAATTATTTTTGTTTTTTTAAATAACATATGCGATGTTTTCATTATTGTCTTATATTTTATCTATTTTTGTATTCATATAAAGAATGATTAGGCAAAATTTTATACATGAAAAGAGAGTGGCTTTCAACTCGAAATTAAGATGTATTAACGATATATTGCTGTTAACTATAAATGAAGAGAATGTGTATTTTCATTAGATTTATATATGAATTAAGTCCCGATACATATTATTTTACCGTGGCGTTCTACTTTTGTTGAGGAGTATTTGAAGAAGAACAATTTTGTGACATCCGTAGGCACCTGTCATTTACTAGAACCTCACCTTAATGCCAAATAGTTTAAACTTGATATTGATTTCACATGCCAATCGTTTCTTAATAGAGACTCTGATTCTTTGCGTTCCAAACCAACTTTAAATGTCAGACCTGAAAAATCCACTAAGTTTATAACTTTATTCAAATCTAATTCAGCTTTAATCAGCTTTCATTTACATCATAAATTGATTAAATTCCTTTCAGTTTTTGCTCAGTTTGAATCTGATTCTATCTCACTGCTCTGTGAATATGCTGTATGCGAATCTTCTCATTTAAAGCAGCAAAACTTTTGTATGGAGGAAAGCATTGTTTAGCATATGCTGGACCCGACAACTTATCTTTGTTTTGGGGGAGTTTATGAAGTTTAGAAATCTAGTTAGTATACGAGGGACGTTCATAAATAATGTCATCAGCTCAATGACAAACAACATAGAAATCATATGCAATAAAGCTTGATTTTCTGTAATTATTGAATCTTTAATGAGTTGATTACAGTCTATGTGACCGATTTTCAAAACACAGATCTGTTGTGGGAAGCTAGAAAACAAGGTCTTTCGAGATACTGCATTTTAAAAAAATGAATAGTTAAGAATCAATATACTAGAGTGACATTAAACACTCCCTTAAAGCTGCTGTAAAACTTATTAAGAATCCAAAAGAAATATTAACTAAACCATGTGAAATTTACAGCGACCAATGTCTATTTTATACACACATTTGCAGTGGATTTCAATGAACAAAATTGATATAATGGGCATCGAAAAATGGATACCGTCCTTGGCGACAAAGGACATACAACAACCAATGTATATTTGGGAAAACTGAACAAATTATCTCTGAGTATGTTTGATTGACTTTAAGACACGTAGCAAATTTAATAGACATCATTTTGGAAGTAGTTCACAGTGTTTAAAAGAGACTTTTGATAGTAAAAAAGTTTAATACTTAAATTACAATATAATACAATTTATCATTAAGTCAAATGCTTACTTACGTTTTTCATACTAAATGCTAGTCTATTATTCATAAATTGAATTGACGACAGATTTTTCCGTTGTTTCTCGATAATGACAGGGAGCAAACGGCGGGTGTGAACAGTCAGCATGGGACGCTCACTCCTCCATGCCACCTGAGCCCACCTCTGATGTTCCGGAGGTCCGTGTTTGTTCTGCTTCTATTTGTATTGTTTATGGACGTTGAGATTGAATGCTGTTCGTTATCTCCATATTATTCTTGGTATATGTCGTTTTTCCTCAACGCTTGCTTTCATTGCAATTTTTAAAAGTTTCTTTCCCCTTCATCTTGTGTTTATCTATATTAGTGAAGCGTTTTATGGACAGTAGTCACATATATTAGAAAAAGGCTTATTCTATATGTAAATGCTCATTTTGTCTGACATTATTTAAATATATTTACACATCTACAGATATTCCAATTTTTGGTGTATTAACGATGAAAGATCAAAAGAAACAAACAGAACAACAAAACTTTGAAGAGTTTGAGACGCTCTTTAAAAGAACGCTTGGATTGTCTCATTTGAATTATCTTCACTGCACAAATTACTGCGATGATAACGTAAATGAAATACGTGAAAGAATAAGAACACATTATCCTGAATTAGACATGCCTGTCTTGAAGTTCCTGATACAGGTAAATCTTTTCTAAGTTAAATTAAATTGATATTATTAATGAGCTTGCATTAACATTATAATGTATTTTATAATGTAACTACAATTAAGTATTGTATACCACCTATGATCTGCGTCATGTTTATTCGCGATTCGTCAGTTGAAATCAATCTGCTGCGATTAATTTTCACGAAGAAGGAAACATTTTCTACAAAAACAAAGCAAAATAAATGGTTCGCGGCGATTTGCGCGACTTAAAGTTGATCGCGAAACTCGTGAATATTTCATGCACGCGAAAAAAAGTTGGTTTACAGTAAATACCTTATGGCATTGGAATAACAAAACATGCCACATTGAATGTCATAATAATGATATAGAAAATAAATCATAAATGGCAAACGATTGATTTGTTGCTTTCATTATACAATGCTAGACTATTTATTACAAATTTTGATATGGCATAGAGAAAATATTTTTGAACAGGTTTTGGATCCTGCGTTGGAGTGTACTGATTTCAACCGCAGTGCTCGATTTTCAAAGACAAGATTGATCGAATGGTGGTACGAATTTGCTGCCACAACAAGAGGAATTAACAATTTTCATTTGCTTCTTATTATTTTTGTAACTTCGCTAATCGCCGCTACTCTTGCACACTTGTTATTCCGTGCATAGGAAAAAAATGCAAATGTATAGCTATGATCATTTCTGTGTCGTTTTTCTAAAATTTTAAATTGGATTCAGACAATTTACCGTAAATTAGCATGAAATTGACTAAATTTTGTGTCTAAACTTGCTTATCCTTTTTGGTAATATTATTTCTAATAAAAACAATATTATATTTCATACTTTAGAAACATATCAATAAAAAAGTTAAAGAAGAAAGTTGAAATAATATACTACACTTTATAAGTATATGGTTGATTAAATAGGTTATTTTGTTTAATATAAAAGCAAGACTTTGTATGTTTTGAATGAAAATGAGCACGTATCTTGGTATGAAATTAGTTATATTTTTAATACTTTGTAATAGATTCAATATTTCTCATTTGCAAAGTTGTTATTGAAAGACATTGTTAAGTGATTTGGAGTTTGTCATCAAAGTAATCTATAAGTGAATACATTATAGAAACATTGTAGCAAATTAAAGGCCCGCTTTAAATTCCTGTATGTTATGCGCAAAAACACTATATGTACCGATTAATTCTGAGTTTTCTCAAATGATCATAGCACATCAACATTAGATTAAAGTAATCAATTACAGAACTATTTTCTGAACAATCTAAATACCCACTCCCCCAACAATATATCAAAATCATTTATCTTTAGTTTGTGAAAGATGTTTCCTATGAAATGATATGAACCTGCAGAGTGATCAAGAAAAGAGTTGACAATGCCTTTGACATAAGTGATCCTTTAAGTATGGACACGGGCTAGAATTATATTCACTGACAAAACAAAACAAGATGTGTAGAGAAAAGAAAAGAGAGGGGTCAAGGCAAAGGAATGACTTATTGAAAGTATCATAAGATTTATGCACATAGGAATTATAATACCCTAGATATCTGTCTAATACGATCTCTCATCCAAAAAGAATCTCATAAAGCTACAAATTTTAGCATCATTAATCTACATGGATCAATTCTTAAAATCAAATATATGCTCTGCCATATGACAGATCATGACGTCTGGACTCTTTTAGTTCCCAATGTAGCCTTAGGGCAGGGTAAAAAAAATCAACAAATATTTTTCACACCTTCATAAAAGATCGATCATTCGAAAAATTGACTTCTGCTTACTCTATATGGGAATTTCCATGGACGACCTATCATTTGTAGACACTTGTGATTTACTGCATAAAAGTCAGAGTTACATGTACATGTACAGACCGCGTTGCAAATTAACAAGACTACAAAAAGGAAATTTTAGTCACCTTTTTAGCGACCAAAAGACAAGGGAAGAACAACTTTGCCAGACTTCTTTTAAGTGTGAAGACAACATTAAAACTAATCACTTTGTTATCTTTTTATTGACGCTGATTCAAAGTACTATTTAACCAAGTAAAGTGAAGTAATTGTTTTTGAATCAATTTTTTCCGGAGGAAAAAGTGATAATTTTTTTTACTCATTTTTTAAAAATAATTATGTACATATAAATCTCCGATATGATTTGCCATGCAAATTGTTACTCAATTTTCTACTCTTATTGTCATCTGTCTTTAAGTATGTTTTATACACAACCAAAATACAATCTTTTATTATATACTTAGTAATAAATACAGGATATTTGCATATGTGATATGCCTGACATCGCAAAAGACGTATTAGCCCTGCAGGGCTGATAGGGATCAATATCACACCCCAAGAAAATCAAACAAATAAATTATTTTCAAATAACGGATCGGACACATTCGATATAGAAGTATGTTCATAGACCCAAACCGTATGAGACAATAGATCGTGTACATGTAAGAAGTCAGTGCATGATTACAAATTTTCTTCTCAACTTTATGTATACCGTATTTAATTACTAAGTATGTAACAAACATAATAAAACATACCCTTTTCCACATCACCCAGCCTTCGACCAATATAAGCCCTCGGGCCTTCGACCCTTTGGCTGATATTGGTGTCTCGGACTGATACATGATGTGATATGGAAAAGGGTATGTTTTATTCTCTATATAATGTGTAACTTTATGTAATTGTGCTATCCTATCCAAGTAAATAAAAGAGTTTATTATAATTACATTCAGTGTTTTCAGGGGGTCTGGATTTTGAACTCAATCTGTAATATTTGGTTGGACGCTAGAGAATGTCTTCTTTTTAACACTTAATGGGTTGTGCACGAAGACGAACTTACTCTAACCACATTAGAGAAGATTCGAAACAAACAACAATGAGAAAAAAACTTGAAATATTCTATGATCACAAAAATAGAAGAACAGAAAAGCCCGGTAGTATCATGAAAATGAGGCTTACTTCATAGTTATATGAGATAATCATGTCAATAAGCATTACAGGGGATGTGGACACCTCCATGGATCTATAGCTAGCAAGGGATTTATTTAGATGTCTGTGTTTTCTCTATTCTAAATATTAAGTGTTTCTTTAGACTTTGACATTGATTACTGTTCGTAATGAATAGGAGATGGTCCAATGATATATTCTTAAAATTTTGTTCTAAACCAATAACAATTAGTTCACATGCCATACACATAATACACTTACACAGTTAAATGTGTCGAGATGTGAGTAAATGTTTCCCAACACAATTTGATTTTCATGTTTTGCAATTGAGTTTAATTCAGATGGAAGGAGTTACTTCAAACATCAGGTAAATATGAAGAAACAACAAAGTAATGAAGCTCAAAAGTTAATTGAAACAATACAAATTCTGATACGGCCTTTTTAAATACAAAATGGGGGGGGGGGGGTCAAGTGACTTGGAGGACTATGCATCATACCTTCAAAACCTGCTGTTAAATATCTCTCTGTACCCCTTTCTAAAAATATTTACAGCGGTAAATGAAAAACTTCAAGATAACTAAGCAACAATATGTTTTTTAAAAAAGTCCATTAAATAAGACAAAATAGAAGCAGAGTAAACATGGGCCTCCGAAATATCAAAGAAGAGCTCAGGTGCTATTGGAGTAGTAAACAGATTCGAAAACTTCAAAACACCAAAGAAAACATTCTCAAAATTTTACCAAAATCAATAAAACAAAGCAAGAGATTTTCAACACTTTATGCTCACTCCTCCATGGCACCTGAACCCACCTCTGATGTATTAGAGGTCCGTGTTTGCTCTGCTCCTATTTTGTATTGTTTTATGGATTTTGATATTTAATACTGTTCGTCATCTCCATATCCTTAGAACCAATCCCCGGGACAAACATAGAGTCAAGACTGCAGTTTCTTTTCCAATAAAATTTGAAATTGTTAGTTTACATGTCTAGTCATTGATAATTTACATTATTGTCCCCCGTTTTCGCGTAAGCGAGGGGACATTAAATTTCATTCGTCTGTCCTTCTGCGAGTCTGTCTGTCACGAAAAATAACCTAGGTCATATCATTTTAATGAGAATAGATACGGTTTAATATTACACATGTGTAGTGCCTGTGACAAGACCTTTCTCAATACACTATGTTTTTTTTATCTCGTGATCTTGTTCTTGAAATTTGACCTGATTTTCAAAAATCGTTAATCTTGTATATTACTTTCCAATAAGCCTTTTCACGATAAATCTCGCACATGCGCACAAACGCTTCCGGACGGCAAACTCATTTTGTTTACATTGGTGACCTTATAACATCTATGTCAAAGCGGGAGAGTTTAAATAAGTTAAAAGTTAATGTGCTGCGAAAACTTGCCGAAGAACACGGAATTAATGTTACTAAAAAGAAAAAAGAAGAAATCATACAGGATTTATTAATATGCCAGACGTCACCCTCTGTTCTCACACCGATCGTGCTGCAAGATTCAGCTGGAGCTTCCTTGATAGTACCCTCTCAGGACAGTTTACCACCCTTCAATGCCGTGATTTATGAGTCCCCAGACCATTCTTATATTCCCACAATATCTTTCACTGATATTTACAACTTTATTATTGAAAGACCTACACCGTGTGGTAGTACAGTGAAAAATTTCAAGGGTCTAGACAGATCTGTCAAGCACTTTGAGGCTGGTGATGTGCAAGACATTAGGGTATCACAGGTATGGGATAAAAATGTTATTTTGTTTTTAAAAAAATTATGAACTCTTATAAACTTACATGTCATTTGAATTATTCTATTTTACATTTTTTAAATGCATGTACAATTTACATGTTTGCAAGAAAAGAACTGTGGAGTCTGGATAATTTACAGGCAGTATTATTTTTAATTAAAACATCTTCGGAAATTATTAATGTTATTTGTGTCAATCGTCCATTCAATAAATGAAGTGCATTTTCACTTAGATAAACCCATCTGTGATCTATGTGAAAGCAACATGCCAGGCTTCAATGAAAAAGCAGCAGTACCAAGTCTTCCTATGTGTGTCAACATCCAACACAGGCAAACCACATATACAGCATGGATATTGCCAGTGTCCTATAGGGTAAAATATCTAAATAATACAGTACTATTACACTTTGAAATGCTTCTGGACTGGTTTAATGGTTTATATTAGAGTACACAAAATTACAAACCCATTATTTTTCACCGATTGATATTAGTACATTACTCACTATATTATATATTTGTTTCACATCATAAGTTGTGTCACTTCCCACTATATGACTTTTAGTTTAAAGTTTATGTATGAAGAATTATATTGAAATAGTCCCCACCCTCTCTGACTCCCCAAATATGACTACAATGAAGTTGACAGTGTACGGCTTTAGGCTATTATTTGTGAATTGGTATTCATTTATTTTAATAGTGGAAATTATATAATTCTAAAAGGATGTGTAAAATAATGAGAAATACCATTTTCAATAAAAAAAAGCAGAAATTTTATACATGTACATGTACTTAAAAAGTATATACATGTATATACTGTGTAATTATGTAATTATTTACATGCATTATTCCTTGAAGCCTTTCTACTTTTAGGTTAGCACAGGCATGTAGCCATATAGGTGCACTTCTATTTGCGCTTAGCCATGCCAAACCTGGTGAGACATCAGGAAGTTGTACATCTCAGCCTTGTAAATGGATCATTCCCGGGCGCCAGGTGAAGCCGACTCGGCCCTAGCTGCAATAATGTAGCCCTCTCCGATTTTTTTTTATTCTGATGTTTGCTGCAATAATGTAGCCCTCTCCGATTTTTTTTTATTCTGATGTTTTCT